AGACACAGACTGGTCCACTCCGTGCCACGACACATTGCTGCAGTAATCCAGACACAAGGAGCAGCAACTAAGTACTGATGCTGAACATGCTCATACTTTTCAGTTGGACAACATTTCTAAAAATCCTTTTTTTTATTGGTCTTAAGTGATATTCTAATTTTCTGAGATACTGAATTTGTGGTTTTCATTAGTTGTCAGTTCTAATCATCAACATTAAAAGAAACATTTGAAATAGATCAGTCTGTGTGTAATGAATATAATATACAAGTTTCACTTTTTGAATGGAATTACTGAAATAAATCAACTTTTTCATGATATTCTAATTTTATGACCAATATTAGCTGCACATTAGACCAACACGTCCCTACGGTCCAATGTCATGTAATTTGATTAGTTTGTCTTTAATGGATGGTTATGTACCACAGAGCTTTAAGGTTGCTGTAATTAAACCTTTACTTAAGAAGTCTGACCTTGATTCAGAAATTCTGGCCAACTGTAGATCTATATCTAATCTAACTTTCATCTCAAAAGTTCTATAGAAAATAGTTGCAGGTCAGTTGTGTGAACATCTACAAAGAAATAATGTGTTTGAAGAGTTTCAGTCAGGGTTTAGAGCTCATCATAGCACAGAAACAGCACTAGTAAAAGTCACTAATGATATTCTCATGGCCTCAGACAATGGACTTGTGTCTCTACTGGTCCTGTTAGACCTCAGTGCTGCATTTGATACAGTTGATCACAATATTTTACTACAGAGACTTGAATATGATGTTGGCATTACAGGAATGGCACTAAAATGGTTTAAATCATATCTATCTGATAGATTCCAGTTTGTAAATGTAAATGATGAATCTCCCTCAGGGTTCAGTGCCTGGACCTGTTAGGACGGGAGCTGGCTGCGGGTCACCGGACCCGGAAACCCGCCTCCAGCCCACGTCGCTCCCCCCGGCTCTAACCTCCTTCAGAAGTGGTAACCCACAATACCAATAAATCGAGGAAACGTCAATTAAGTTTTATCAATTATATTAGAAAAGGCAGGAAAAGGTTACAATTTACAGCGCTGGACTCTCCGGGTCTGTGACGTGTTCACAAACCCAGAAGAAGAGCCCCGATGTTCCGTGTCATTACTCATTTATAGGCTCCTGGACTCCTCCTTCACAGAAGGGGAGCTCAACCTGTCAGTGTATGAGGGGGCGTGGCTAAGTGTGATCTCAGTGGATCTTATGTAGTTCTGACGTGTTAGGAAATATGAGACGGTGCTTCAAAAGCCTTTCTGCCTAATGTGGCAGATTAAACTCTGTTCCTTGATGGATATTGAAATCCCAGGGAGACTCTCTCAGAGCTGCTGGCCCAGTTTAACCCAGTCAGAACCAGGTCATAATTTCATTATAATCCCGTCTCTGAGTAGATCAAACCCCAGGACCAGTCTAGATAAGTATCTTAACAGGCCAATACTCTTTACTTTATATATGCTTCCATTAGGTAAAGTTATTAAACAGCATGGGATAAATGTTCATTGTTATGCTGATGACACACAATTATATTTGTCCATTAAACCCAATGAATCCAATCAGCTACTTAGACTACAAGCATGTCTTAAAGACATAAAAACCTGGATGACCTTTAATTTTCTCCTGTTGAACAGACAAGACTGAGGTTTTGATTTTTGGACCTGAGCACCTTAGGAATGAATGTTTCAGTCTTTCTCCCTCCTTAGATGCATTAATGTGTCCTCCAGCTCTAATGTTAAAAATCTTGGTGTTATTTTTGATCAGGACATGTCTTTTATCCCCCACATTAAAGACGTTACTAGAACTTGGGGTCAGCTTGGGTTTCCTGAGCTGTCCCTTAGTTCTGCTGCTATAGGCTCAGACTGCTGGAGGACAAACTGACCACACTTTTCACTCTGCTGCTTCTTTACTTACTCTGCTCAACCTGTTTTGTATTTGTAATTATTTTTTCTATACTTTACATGTGTTTTTCTTTCAGGTACACCTGGACCTGGTCCTATATCTGGACCTATACCTGGACCTACCATTCTGTGTTCGTCTGTCTCTCCTTCCTGTCCTCTCAACCAGCCGGTCAAAGCAGATGGCCGCTTGTCCTGAGCTGGTTCTGCTGGAGGTTTCTTCCTGTTAAAGGGAGTTTTTCTTCCCACTGTCTCCACTGTGCTTGCTCAGGATGGGAGACTGTAACGAAGCCAAGATTCAACTTGTCTGCTGGATTCCTTAGATAGAGAACTTTACTAACTGGCTTTTATGTGAATGTTCCTGTAAAGTTCCTGAGACAACTTGTTGTGATTTGGTGCTTTATGAATAAACTGAACTGAACCTCTGTGTCTCCCAGGTGTTCTGCGGTCGTTATGTTAACGAGCACATGGTGTCTCATGGCGTGGTCTCAGAACATCCAGTGGTCTTGAGCTTCTCGGACCTGTCCGTTTGGTGTTACCTGTGTGAGTCCTACGTCCACCACCAGGTGAGGCTTTGACCCCTGCTGACCAATCAGAGCATTGGCCCCACCCCTCAGTCAGCTCAGGTGACCTACCAACTCTGTAGCTGTAAAACCTTTCCTTCAGGTGAAACAGAACAAACTGGGTTCTTAACGACAGAACCTTTGGGAAAATGTTTGGTTGTCCAGAACGTCGGATAAGTTCTCTCCCAAGGAGCTCCTCATTCAAAGAGGTGTGGCCTAAACCGAACAGGATG